CCGCCACATGCCCGGCTTATTTTTTCTATATATATAGTTGGCTAATTAATTCTTAATTTTATAGTAGAGCAGGGTCTCACGTCTTGCTCAGGCTGGTTTCTGAACTCCTGATCTTGAGCAATCTGCTCGCCCTCCCTCCCCAGAGTGCTAGGATTATAGGCGTGACGACCGCGCCTGGCTGAGGTTGCCAAATACTAGAATCCGTTGTAGAGATATAGCTCATGTCTCAACTTTATAATTTCGCCCAGTGATAGATGAATTTTAATACTTAGATCCTAAAAAAATGTCAAGTTTTACCGAAAGTCCAAATTCTAAGATGTGCCAGTCATGAACGGTCAACAGCGTGACAAGGCTACTCACGACTGAGAAGACTCTCGTAGTTTTCCTGAGTGCTTTATTTTGGGCATATTTCTTTTCTGTTCTTGTGTCTGATGGCACATATCCTGTATGTGTGTGTTGTCACCAGAAGCTCTTCTGAAGTAGCACGATGATTGATGATGAAATACCAAAAGTAGTAGGAGCAAGCCTTCAAAGATATTTGGAGTCCTCCCAAATAAGGAGGACAAAGCTCTGCCACCTCCTGCTTTTTTGCACTTGCAACAGATCTTCCAAATGGTTCCCATTTGGTTAAGCTCTCTTAATCTGCTCCAAAACAGACACATGGATTATTTAAGGATCAACGTACACGTTACTGATTTGATTGACATCAATAATGGAACACATTTTGATGTTGTTGAAAGAAAATGTTGTTCATCGTCATGGGAAAAAACGATTTCAAGCTCCTAGAACTTTAAAAAATCTTAAGTTGGAGTAGACTGGATATATTCTTTCAAGCACACAGGCGAGAAGGTTTATCATTTGCCAAATCACATAACAGACTACAGATGAACACAGAAAACAGGACAGTTCACTCTACAGCCTAAACTGTGTTTAGGCACTAGAAACCAGATAAATACTGTTAGCCACCTGAGAAGCTCATACTCTTGAGAGGAAGCTGTCAATCTCAAGGCTCTCACATTTGAGATTTGGAAGAATTAAATACAATTTTCGTTTAGAAGTTTCATTGTTAACAAGTGTTGTTGGTTACAATGGATAAATGTGTTTTGTTGTTGTTTTTGTGAGACAGAGTCTTCTTGCTTGTCACCCAGCTAGGGGCATGGCATCAACCCCCCTCACAGCTCAGTGCACCTCAAACTTCTGGGCTTTCAAGCATCCTACCCCTCAGCCATCCAACGTAGCCTGGGACAAACAAGCCACGGCCACGCGCCCATGCCTATAGCTTAATTTCCAATTTTTGAAGCCAGAAAGGGGTCTTGCTCTCACTTCCAGCGCTGGTCCCTTGAGCCCTGAGCTGAGTGATTATTCCTGGCCTCCCAGCCTCCAGAGTTTGTTAAAGGATTACAGTGTGAGCCACTGTGCCTGGCCTAGATCTGTTGTTTTAAAAAACCACAAAAGGATCTAATCTTTCTGGCAACATGAAACAAGGAAAGTTGTTCCAGACCTTTGGATCTCAGTTTCTGTCCTTCTTAGTGTGTGACTTGGGTCTCAATCTAGCTGTGAATGAAGTTTTTTTCAAATATCTAAATGGGGTGGCTATGTGT